CATGTCTTATTGTTGTTTTGATTTGCATTTGCATAAAAATAGATGATAAACATCTTTTTATTTAGCTTAATGACCATCTGCATGTCTTTGGAGAAGTATCTTTCTGACTATTTCTAAGGTAGATTCTTTGATTTTCATCTTTCAGTTTTATGAGTTCTTTGTATATTTTGTATATAAACTCCTTGTAGGCCTCTGGTGTATAAATATATTTTCCCACTGAGTAGCATTTCTCTTGGTTTTGAGATGCTCCTTTTGAAGAGGATTTTTAGTTTTATATGGTCTCATTTTTTTGTTATTTTAGTGGTAATTTTATTTCATTCTTCTGTATTTTATTTTAATTTGGAGATCTCACACCTGGTGGTACAGGGCATCAGTACATTTCAGGGACTGAACTTGAGGCCCCTCATGCGGTTCTTCGAGTCATTTCAACAGTCTCTGTGGCAATTATTTTTACTTATTAATTTTAGTTTTGGTCACACCCAGTATTTCTCTGTGGCTATTTTTAGCTTGATATTCAGGATTGTTCTGGTGGTGCTTGGGAGAGAGAATCTAGTGCCAAGGATTGAACCTGGGTCTACTGTGTGAAAAACATATGTGTCTGTCCATAGATTAGATTATAATTCCTGTCTCCAATGGTAATTTTACATTGAACTTGGCTATATAGTATTTCTTCCATAACTGACATTGTTTTCAGTAAAATATGTATATTTATTAATCCACTGTTGTGTTGCATTTGTTTTAGAGAGATGGTCTCCAGTTTTGAATTCTGCTTTGGGGTATCCTGGCAAGAATCAAAACTGGTTTTCTCTGTGTCATATAAATAAGATAATTGCCTATTAATAATAGGATCAATAAGCTGTGACATAGAGTTTACAGTTTTTCAGAGAAAGAAGAAATTTCTTTGTCCTAGGATAATTTAAGTTTTTACATTGAGGAATCATTTTTAAAAGTGAGAAGAAAGACATAAGAAAAGTGGAAGGCAAGAAAGTAGAGAGAACTGCATCGGCAGAGATGTGGAAGCAGAAATATATCTACAGTTCCTCCAGCGAATTCAGAAGAAAATATTTTGATTACAACTGAGTGTGCTAGGATGTTTGTGAGTAAACTACATTTGAATCCAGCTAATTTAGGAGAAGAGGCAGTTTTACATAGAGTGACAGGGAATGGTTGGCTATTTGGGAAAAATAGAAAAGCAGTTGGGAAAACAATTTACTTGACAAGTCAAAGGCTTTGAGAGAGGTATGTGCCTGATATATTTGGGGGAAAATGTAGTTTTGAAGAAAATGGAGAATGTGAAATGAGAAAAGTGAAGTCCAGAGGCGCACCTGGGCTCAGATTACAAGGGGATTGATATCTCTTTTTCTTACTATGTAATTTTTCTTCATGGAATTTAATTTATCTGATATTAATTCATGTATCCATCTTTTTAATTTATCTCTCTAAGAAAATAAGCCTAATTAAGGCATAATTATTCTTTACCGTACCATTTATCATATATATTCTTTACCATGCATTTGGGCTGGAACGATAGCACAGCTGGTAGGACATTTGCCTTGTACAAGGCCGACCCAGGTTCGATTCCTCCATCCTTCTCAGAGAGCCCGGCAAGCTACCAAGAGTATCCCTCCCGCACAGCAGAGCCTGGCAAGCTGCCCATGGCGTATTTGATATGCCAAAAACAGTAACGACAAATCTCACAATGGATATGTTAGTGGTGCCCGCTCAAGCAAATCGATGAACAATGGGGCGACAGTTGCTATAGTGCAGTGCTGCCATGCATTTGCCATATCTTTTGTCATATCTTTACCATACAAAGCCTGGTCCAAACTGGGAACTCAATTTTTTTGTAACCATTAAATAAGGGAAGAGCCTAGGACATAACATTTTCTATGGAAAAGTGAAAACAGATTGGACTTTTGAATTGGTAGGAAAGGATTTATAAGCCTGAAAGTCCTTATGGGTCTTGAATGTCCTTGATAACGATGAATGATTGGAGTGGGGAGGGGTAGAAAGATAATAAAATAGAAGAAAGCTATTAAGTGACATTCAGTGCTTACGCGTTCTCACCAACAGTCAGATTAAGTTAATGCTATACCACTTACTGGTATTTTCTTTTCTTCTTCCTAGTTTATATATGATTTGTTTATCCTTTTAAGTAGCTCTTTCACAGACTTGAGAATGTGTTATTATGTTGATCCTTGCATCCTTTGGAGAACTGACAAATCCCATTCAGCTCATTATTAACATAATTTAATTAATGTATTTAAAACACCATGTTAAGACTTAACTATAATCTCATTTACTGTGTGGAAGGTGTTATCAGATTCATGACTGAGGTAAAAAACCACAGGAATGAGATATTCCCCCAAAACTGCAGAGTATGAAATACAACTCAGGCTAAGTGACTGAACAACATTTATATAATTAAATTAAGCCATGTAAATGAAAGATTTGTAAGTTGACATCAAAATATACAAATAGTACCATTAAAAAGACAACTACATCTCTTTTTATTACAGCATAAACAAAACAGACCTTCAAAACAACATGTACTGTAATTGAAGGGGCCATCCTATGAATTAAGCAATTGTTACAGTGTTCTTTTAAGGAGATACTGAAGTCTGTGAATAGTTTATCAAAAATTCTTTAAACATTTTTTTTCTTATTTAGGTATAAAGAATAAATAAAATACAATAAAGGAAAGAAAGGAAATTAGTTTCTCCCGTACTGGAGATGGTATAGCTCTCTATGTCACTTTATAGATTGCTTCTGGGATAAGGATATAGACTTGAGCCTATGGAAACAGTTCTAACAAGGAGGAAGTTAAGAAAAGAACTAAAGAATGAAATGTGAAAATGTAATTTTATGAAGGTGTACTAATAATTAGACCAATAAAATATTCCTATTGTGGGACGATGGGATCATTTTTTGTTGATTATATTTCCATTTTTGGCCGACCCAAGTTCGATTCCTCCGCCCCTCTCGGAGAGCCCGGCAAGCTACCGAGAGTATTCGATATGCCAAACACAGTAACAACAAAGTCTCCAATGGAGACGTTACTGGGCCCGCTCGAGCAAATCGATGATCAACGGGAGGGCCTTTACCTTTACCTTTTACCTTTATATTTCCATTTTATTTTCTTGTCATCATAAAGAGTTACCAATGAAAATAACTGATCAGGATCATAATGGATTATTATAGCAAAGTAGTCATAACAAAAAAGTTTTAAGTATTCTTCACAAGCTTAATATGACTTTGCCATTTATTGTTAAAGAAAATAATCTAAGCTACGTGCACATAATAAAAATAAATGTAGTTCAAAGTTGGAGATAACAAGCAGACAGATTTTTTCCCCTTCATCATGAAAAGCCAAAGAAAGCTTTAAATTTTATGTTACATCAGAAATAAAGTTTGATATTTTAAAGTAAATTTGCAAAATGAATTTTAAATGTACATTTATATTACTACCTGAGGCATACATTTATTTACAGTGTTAAATATAAAAATATTTTGACAAACTAAAGTAGCTTAGATTTAATTTTATGTGTTCTTTCCTAACTACAAGGTGTTTTTCCTCTCTATTTGGATAAAATATAAAATGGCAATGACAGACGTAGTTTTTCCGTTGCTAGGCTACATGTATGCCCATTTAGCCTGCTTCCCAACAGCACAGTTGAAGAAAAAGATATGTGCATATATAAATATGTAGATATACACATATATGTATAGACAGCATAAGTATACAGTTGTGTATATTAATATCTATAATATAAATATAATGTAATGTTATATATATGTGACACATATAAGTTTGTACATATAATGTGAGTACATCTCCAATATCATCTCAAAGGCATACATGATTTATACATTCACACATACATATATACCCACAGCTTCCATAGTGTGCATTTCTTTAGCTCATTAGAAGGGAAGTATATATGGAGGATACATGTACAATGAATAAGACTGTAAAAACAGCTTCAAGTCTCCCAGAAGGTAATGGGAGCGAGTAATCTGGCTATGTCTCAACATCTGTTCAGGGGAATATAGATTAAATTTTGTACAGGAACTCTTACTTTATACCTGTAGTTTCCATTTTTGTTTTTCACTGTCTGTTCCCTCACTGTGTCAGAGATTTATCAAATAAATACATAAAGAAAACATTGAGTTTGTTTTTTCTAGGTAGTAAACGAACTCCTTTTAACTCTTCTTTCTCTTTTCTTTCTCTCTCTTTCCTCTTCCCATTTTCAACCTTTCTCAAGAAACACATTTCAAAATGTAATTTTATTTTGTGTGAGCCTTGTAAAGTGGATCTTAACAGAATTCCAGAACTGATGGTAAACCGGGCTTCTGGATGGCATACTGCACCCTGAAATTTCTCAGCCCCCCACATTCCCACTCCCAACATCACACACATCCTCTCACTTGCAGGTATCACTAACCCTTCTAGTCTTGCATTCAACACATTGACATTTTGCAACAGATTTTCTGAGATTTTGTCAAAATGCCCCAGCCGTCAGTATTCCAATTGACCTTCCCAGTCCTATATTCCTTCACATCATGCTTTGGGATCTTACATCCCAGGATCCAACCACTCCAAATTTTTCATTGTACTATTAAGCTAATTTTTTGGTCTGCTCTAGCACTAGAGAAAAGACTGTATAGTTGCTTTTGATGAATCAAATATGTGATTCATTTGTTGGAGGTAGTTTACATAATATATGGATTTAAAATGTTTATAAAATATTGTCAAACATGGAAAAATCCCCTTAAAAAGATGTAAATATGTTGACTATAATAATAGTTATTCTTGAAATGCTTGTAAATATAATTTTCTACAACACCAACCAGTGTCTCTCTTCATAATTTGTACACAAACTGTACTAGCAATTTTATGATCTCTCTCACTGATGTATTTTCTGCTGCTTCAGGTCCTTTTGCCTCCAGTAATATGTCTTAGAACTTTCAGAGTTTTATATTGGAAGTTTGTTTTTCAGATTTTGGATGAAAACCAAACTGATCTCTCACTGAAAAAGGAAGAAAAGAAAATTTCTCTTATGAAAAAAGGTAAACACAATTCTTATTTTACTAGATTAGAGGTTATAATGTATGAATTATTTTAAATGTGACATGTATTTCATATGTTAGATGCAGATTTTTTTAAAAAAAATAATAGCAGTTTGGAATAAAAAAAAATTTGTTGTTTCCAGAAGTGGAATGTGCTGGGTGGAGAATGAATTACCAATATCATGTATTTTGAAGGGGTAGAGAGACACTTCCTGACTGGAAAGGGTGTACCCCCAAACTGCCACACTGTCTGAAGTTCATGAAGAGGGTACTGATATCACCCTCCATTAAGTTAGTGAATTCTATTTAGAATTTTCCCAAGGACTGGTATCATATCTATAGTTTTTAAAATCTATTGTGAAAGATAAAATGACAGTCCACTATATGCAACCATTTCATTCGTTTCCTGCTTTTTCTGTCACTAAGAAATGATCGACAACACAATAATTGAGACTCTTAATTCCCGTTTATTTTTCCAGGTGTAATTCTTATGTTATATATTCTATTGCCACACCTCACTGTTATTTAAATGAATCCATTATTTTCATTGTCATTTTATTCCAAAATAAAGTTTTGTGTGTGAAGCAACATAGTTTCTCTTGACAGAAATTTACTTAGAAAGATGTAAGGAAAAAGAGAGGAAAACATGTTCAAGAGAGAACATGGGTTTGTTTCTCCATGGTAGAAAATGACTCAGAGAGAAAGGGAGGTACTAGTTCAGAAGAGCATAAGAGCTTGAAAGAACAAGCTTGAAAGAACAAGTTTTGAGGAAGGAGGTTATACACAATTCCCCCAAAGAGTGTAGGCCTGGAGTTCTCTGGATATATAAAATTTAATCTTGGTGTTGTTGCAAAGGCCTTTCATAATCAAATGACAAAGCTTAGCTTCTTCTTTAGCTTATTTTCTGAGAGATCCACCTTTCTCTGGGAAGCAGCTTCTCCACCTTGAAAGAGTTCAGGTTTTGCATCTCAAATAGAAATTGTCTTCATGCCTTTGGGCTATTTTAGAGCTAAATAATTTCTTCTTAAAAGTTGTTATTTCCCAAAAGCTCGTTACAGCTCTCCACCCCACCTGCAACATCCCACTACAGATTTCACCCCCTTAAATATTTAAAGAATAAATGGTGAAATTTGTGTCTTCTGTCATTTCTTCATACTGACAATGGGTGCAGAGGATTACCTAGGGAGTGAAATCTCCTGCTAACTAATGGGGCCCAGACAATGCTTTGTTGAGTTTTAGAATGTGAAGGACAAAGCATGTAAGACTGGAGCAATAGCACAGTGGGTAGGGCATTTGCCTTGCACACAGTTCGATTCTTCAGTCCCTCTCTGAGAGCCTGGAAAGCTACCAAGAGTATCACGGGTATCACGCCTGCAAGGCAGAGTCTGGCAAACTCCCTGTGGAGTATTTGAAGTGCCAAAACAGTAACAGGTCTCACAATGGAGATGTTACTGGTTCTGCTCCAGCAAATTGATGAACAATGGGAGGACAGTACTACAGTGCTACCTTTAATAACATTAGGGCCTGGAGGAGAAAAGTTTTTCCTGGTTTAAGGAGATTGGAGTTTTTAAGGAAACTATTAATATAAAATATTAATGGCTATAGCATAAGTGTTTTGTTTTTTTGTTTTTGCTTTTGTTTTTTGCTTTTTGGGTCACACCTGGTGATGCACAGGGTTCACTTCTGGCTCTGCACTCAGGAATTACTCCTGTCAGTGCTGGGGACCATATGGGATGCTGGGAATTGAAACCCAGTTGGCTGCAAGCAACACAAACGCTCTGTCCTACCTGCTGTGCTATTGCTCCAGCCCCTAGCATAAGTGTTTGTTCCTTTCTTTTGCATGCTGATATGGAAAAAGCAAACAAACAAAAAGAAACTAACATATTCTTTTATCAGCATGCAACTGTACCTCATGGTGTTTCACTAATAAAAATTTTAAAAAAAATTATATACCCTGGACAGGGCTAAGGATTCTTCAGTTCTAACTATGCCTTGGAAAACTTAATTTCATATTTTTGAAGATTAACTTATGGTAGGAGAAGGGAAAGAAAATAATGAAATTATAAAATTCTGTTGAGATTTTGAAAATAATGTATTAAAACTTGTAGAGAAATAAAAAATAAATAAATAATTTAGTTTTTAGTGTTGGGTTTTCTTAAAGAGAAGTTTCAAGTTCTTGATGGGTTCACAGTAGCATTTGATTCACTGTGTTAGAGTCTGTTCATTGGCAATGTGGATGGAGGTAGTTTTTTCCTGGAGAGATGAATCCAACTAGAAATTCCATTAATTTTTACAGCAGTGAGGGCTTAAGAGAACTGGATAAGGTCCCATCTATTTAGGCCATTGTTGCTCCAAAGGGGATAGAGTTTTCTGGACTTTTAGCAAATTCCAATATCAGACTGAATTTTGGTTGGGAGAAGTAAAATGGCATTGCCATACTCTTGAATTGCCTGCTGTACCTGTGCTAAATTAATAACATACTTAGTATGCCTGTGCCAGAATAAGTTTTTTTTTTTCTTCAGAGTAAGTTTTAAATAAGCTTTCTTGGTCTCAGCATTATCACAGCTCTTTGATTTCTCATTTACAGTCCTTTCTGTCTCAATCCAGGCCATCACTTTGTGTTCACTATTGTTTGTAAGCTCTCTTGTTATTCATACAGTGTTGGTTAGGTAACCTAACCAGTTATTCATTCACATCTTTATATTTGAACCCATTAGTAAGGTCCCCCCCTCCCGCAAATCACATTTTTTCTTTTTAATTGTATTTATGATAATTTCTAGCTCCACAAGCAGGATTTCTTTTGTTACAGTCTCTTAATTTTAAAGTCAATCTTTTAAAGATGTTTCAAACTATTAACATGTCTTTAAAAAATGTGCCTGGTGGATTCCCAAACTGTTTTAATAGAAAAATTATTACATGATTTTGATTCTAAAATTAATACTTAATTTCAAATACTTATCCAAGATTTAGAAAGAACAAATTGTGAAATATTTTCCAATGACTGTATTTATGTATTAGTTGGCTGTAAAAAAAGTTTACTTTGTATGCAAGTCTGTGAATAAGACCAATCAATAGTGCTTGCATTATGCTAAGGAAAATTCTGATCTTCTATTCTTCCTTAATGTAGTCTGGAATATGCACAATCTTTTGATCATCATTTTAAAAACTTCCCTATCTGGCCATCAATAGCCCAAAACTTTTTGGAAAGGGCTTATTTGATGGAAGAAAATATTTGGAACGTTGCCACAAAGAATTCTAGAGGGAGTTGGAAGATGAAATCACTGAAGTTGCTTATTCTGTTTCCAAAACTCTTAAAGATGAACTACACAAGTATCAAAGTACAGGCTGTAATCAAGTCACTAACATCACTCTATTTCCATTTCTGAGGTTCCCTGACTCAGTAGACCGTCTAGATGATGCTATAGCTGTTCTCCATTTAAAGTTTGACTCTTTACCAGAGACAAGTTACTGATTTAACTCTTCGGCATGTTTTTGAATGTGAACCCCACAAAGAAGAGAGTGAGATATAAAGATGGGTAGAGGTGTTGTTTGGGTAGAAGCTTGTGAGAAAAACTGTGACAATTCCTTACCTGCTAGCTCATACATACCAATAGCAGACAATAAGATGTCAAAATAAGACACCCACGTAACTTATGTGACCTGGAGAGGAGAGAGACCCGTCTCAAAAGGGAACCTGTTGCTCTCTCCCAATCCACGTCAGCGACCCCAGGAGTGCCTGGAAAATCTAGTACTGATAAAGTCTGTGATGAATCCATACAGAGCACAGATCTTGTTGCACCAGCCACATGAGACATCTGGCAAGCTGCACCTGACGTTCACTTGTTCTGTGCAGTATGGGAGTTAATCCTCAACAGCCGATTTCCTGGGGAGCCGTGGACTCAGGCTGGAGTGAGGGATTGCTCTTTGCAAGATAGGGAAGTCAGTCCTAGACCTTACTCAGGTCTTTTAGGACCTTTTTCTTAATCTCAAATTTTAGGATGAAATGAGCAGTGAAGTAAAAAACTGATTTTATTTGGAGTTTTTGAGGAAGGGGAGAGAGGGAGAGATACCGTGCTCAAGAGAGAAGGCAGGCATCTCCAAAAGCGGAGACAGCCCCAGTGCACATGCCAGCATTAGATATGAAAGCATGAAAGTTCACATCTCAAGAGGGGAGATGAGGACAGCTCATGTGCTCAGACATCACATGCGCTTGGAAGCAACACATGAGCACAGACAGCATATGCATGTACTTCCTTTGTTTAAGCTGGCTTGCATGGGGTTTCTTCTAAACTGCCGTACTTGGGGATTTTTACAAGTAAGATTCCATTATTGAGTGGTTGCCAAGGGGTAGAGTTGGGAGTAGTTGATGGTCTGCTTTGAAATTCCTTTCCTGACTTTTATTCCTGCTGAAATTTCTGTAGGAGAGGAAGTACAACCTTCTCTGGTTCTGTACTGGTGCCAGGTAAAGGTCTTATTAGGCCTTAGTTCCTGTGCTCACAAGGTGGGTTTTGCAGCCTTGAAGCTACTGGATCTGTTACTTTCCAGGAATCTGTTGCACTGGTGGAGATATGTGGCAGGGTGTCTTTCCTATCTACCTGCCTTCTTCAAAAGAATTTTTTAAGTTGCTGAAGCTCTTAGATAACTGTCTACTATTACGTTATTTTAAGTATTCCTAAAAAATATGGTACAAATTTTACAAAATAGCGTTTGAACGTAAAATCAGACACATATAAATGATTAATGAACTGTTAACATTAATTTGGGGTCATTTGATTGTGTGACCATCAAAATGTGTTTGTTTTCATTTTGTTTGTGTTCTTTTAAAGCAAAAGAAGAGCTATGTAATGATACTCCAGAATTAAAGAGAAACTTTTCATTATTTAACTGGGAAAGGTAAGTGCAAGTGTATTGCAATTATACACGTTTCAAGTGAGTGCAATTATATTGTTGAAAGGTAATTATCCGTGTTTAAATACAAAAAGAAAGAAAATAATAGCATCAAGCAAAACCAATAACAAATAGGAACAGTTTTATAAAGGAAAAGAAAGAAAAGAATGGACTAGATTTCTTACCATTTTCCCAAATCTTTTCATTTTCTTCTATGACAATTTAGGAATAACTGTTCAACTGTCCTCCCGCTGTTCATTGATTTGCTCTAGCAAGCCCAGTAACATTGCCATTGTGAGACTTATTATTACTGTGTTTGTCATATCAAATACGTTATGGGTAGCTTACCAGGCTTTGCCGTGTGGGCGAGATACTCTCAGTAGCCTGCCGGGCTCTCCGAGAGGAGCAGAGGAATCCAACTGAGGTCAGCCGGGTCGGCCGCATGCAAGGCAAATGCCCTACCCACTGTGCTATCGCACTAGCCCTTTGGAATAACAAAATGAAGTATCCTTACTGTTCCACTCACAAGTGACTAATTCAGTTCACTATAATATAGTCAAAGAACTGAAAACGGCACACATACATATAAGAGATGACTCTGAAACCATGAATCAGTTAAATGTTTTGATTTGTTTTTTATTTGCTTTTTGGGCCACACCTGGCAATGCTCAGAGGTTACGGGGTTATTCCTGGCTTTGCACTCAGGAATCACTCCTGGCAGTGCTCAGAGTATCATATAGGATGTTGAGAATTGAACCCCGGTCGTCTTCGTGCAAGGCAAACACCCTAACTGCTGTACTATCACTCCAGCCCAAAAGTCCTTATTTTTTCCCATCATTCTGTCCCTAGTATCCAGAATGGCACCCAACTCAAAAGCCAAGGGTTGCCTTGTCTTAGCTTTTTATTTAATATGTAATTGCTCAATAAGTAATTTTATCCTTCCTAGTGATATTGTTAGGCCTAGACTTATTTCTTAAAAAATTTGATTTAGAATTGTAAATCCCTTATGAAAATAAGACACTCTCTGTGTGCTGTGCTATTTTATACATTATTACTTTGAGGTTTTTATGAATTATGATTTTTAAGCAAATTTATTGATTGATATTCTTCAGTTTACAATACTGTGAATAATGGTTTCTCATGCACATAATTCCAATACCATACCAATCACTAGTGTACCCACCGCCCCCCAAGGGTCCAAACACTTATCCCTTTCACCCTCATTCTCCCCAACAACTCAATTGTGTAAAAGCTGTATGGTTTTTAAATTACCTTATGATTATAATTACAGTATAAGCATTAAAATTTCAACCCAGTTTTAAAATATGAAATGATCTTGTCAAATTTACTTTTGTTAAATAGGGCATAATAAGAAGAATTCAATATAATTTTCTGAGAACTTAGTAGGTATTAAACTAAATTTTTTGTATCTTGTTCAATCCTCAGAATAGCTTCGTAACATATTACTGGCGGGAGAAAAGACATAGAGAAATTCTTTGTATTTTGTTGTACTACATTTTAGTCTTCACCATCAATAGTGTGAATTTTCAGTATCCCCAAGATGGTAAAAGAAAGAAAAAAAGGCTTTACATAATAAAATGTCAGCAAGGAGCAGGTTATAATTAATGGACATCCAGACATTATACAAGTATTATTTAATAGACAATTAAGCATGTTATAATGTTCTTAATCTTAAGTAAGTAAAATATCACTTGAACGCAGTATAATTAATGTCAAAGAATGTTGACAGTAGAAGTACATCTATTTGATAAAATCTATTATCCAATTTTAGGACATCTGTTCAATATAAACAGAATTTTCAAGCTATGGTATTAAATCTAAAGTACTAGCATAAGTGTTTTAAAAATATCTCCTTATTAACTGGCTAACAAAACCTTGCTTGATTTGACCCCTTCCTGCCCACCAGCTTTATCTCCCATATTTCATGACCCCAGACATCTTGCAGTTTTTTGTTCCTCTGACACTAAATGATCCCTTTGCATCTTACTAGTGCAATGTTCTACGCATTGTCACTGAGTTCTTTCCCATTTCACAGCCAGCTATTCTATTGAACACATGTCAGATCACCATGCTCCCATTCAAGAATCCCTTCTATGTTAGTGCCTATTCTGCTTCAACTTCAGCCCTAACTCATCTTCTTCTCACCATCTCCATATTTTCTAGCTCTTTTTATTTACTTTTTGGCTTTGGGCCCACATCCAGCAGTGCTTAGGGATTAGTCCTGACTCTGTACTCATGAATTACTCCCTGAAGACTTGGGAGAACATGAAATGCTGGAGATTGAACCCAGATAGGTCACATGCAAGGCAAGTACCTTACCCCTGTACAACTGCTTCAGCCCATTCTCATTCTTGTTTTAACTGCACTACATTGCTTCTGCCTGCAGACCATTACTCTTCAGCCAGAACACACTTCTTCCAGATCTTGACTAAATGTTTTTTTTTTTTATCAACTGGCTTTGCTTCTTTTTGACTTTATTTCTGTATATATTTCCCCCAAGCGAAAAAATTAAAAATTAATTTCAACGTCTGTTTCAGAAAATATATAATATATGACTAATGTTGTTCAGAATAAATTACCATCAATTCTATTTACTTTTAGCTGCCCAGTAGTCTTGAAACAAGATTTGTCATGAAAATATAGTAGTTCTCCTAATTAAGAATTATTTATATAACTACATCAATGGCAATTTTCAACATTTTTATGTCATTGCATTCCTTTCTTGTGTAGTAACATTTTATTTGTTGCATTTTAATGTTTCTGAATTTATCAGTATCCAATGTGGTCTCTGCTTCAAAATGATAAACCTCTGCTTGGTTTTTGCCCAGTGTGCCGTTAGAAGATTTTAATACAAGTTCTGGATGCAATGCCAAAATTTCTGTGAGTGCTGCTTGTAGCATTTCTTCTTCAGCAACTGAGGCTCCTAAAAGCACATATGTCAAGGAAACAGTAAAACGTTTGTTGTCTAATTTAAGGTAAGATATTTACTCACATATTTCTTCCTGCTTTGCTGAACTTTCATTACAGTGACAGCTCCTGGTTTGTTTGTTTTTCCACTATTAAGTGGTAACATTATTGAGAAAACTTGACAGAATGACTTTAATCCTGTGTCCCCTAACTACACTGAATTAGGAATGCCTCTCCAAGTAGAACAAGTCACGACCTGTTATTCCACGGCATGGCAATATTGTAGATGTTATTCCTCTCTCCAGCTGCAGGAAATAAGTTTTACTGAATTTGCCTGTGGCTTGGTATGCTTTCTTTTCTTTAGTCTGTACAGGAACTTCCAGACATTGGTTTGGAAAAGACTCGTTTTTGTATTAGATACTGAATTTATAGAGCTAAACTGTATTTTCCTTGCTTGTTCATTGTATACTTGAGGGTGGGACTTTTCTAAAAATGCAAATGCCTAAATTTCATTCTCCAAGGAAGGACACAGAAAGGAGGCGAAAGTCCAGGATTCAGGATTTTTCAGGGAGAAAACAGTAATAGGGAAAGGGAGTTTTTGTAATCAAGACAAAGATGCAGCAGCATTGGAAGTTGCAGATGGGAGGAATGAGGGGGAGTAACAGACTGAAAGGACCCTATAGACAGTGGTGGAAATATGTATGTTGGCACTGGTGATTGTTGTGGTGTGGTATCATTGCATTCCTAAAATAAACATTTATACATTTAGCAACTGTTTATATATATATATATATATATATTCCTATATGTAGTGCTTTTCTGTAAATCAACTTGATATATGTGTACAGTAAGAATTAAGTATGAAATTCACACACATATTGAATTATTAAAAGTACTTTAAAATAGTAGTTACTGGGTGAGCATGGGAGCAGTAATGCCTCTAAATTATTACAGGTAATCAATTTGGTTGACATTCACAGGCTAATATGGGTCTCCTGTAAAAGGTAAAATCTAGGACAAGAAAACCACAGAACATGCCTTATGTGCAATAGAGTTGACAAAAAAGTCGAAGTAGGGTGAGAGAGGAAAACAGATGAAACAAAATATGCAGGGAGCTATATATCCTTTTATAACCAGACTAAAGTTCTGTGTATGAATTACTATAAAACAGGAAATCAGTTCTGCAGCTGTCCTGGGTTTTTGGAAGTTTTTGTAGTAATGCACACAGTTCTGTAGTTGTGTTTACCTGGTTATAAATTCCCTACCTCCCAATACCCATTCTGTCCCAGGAAAAGAGTGAAAATAGTTTTGGTTACATGTAAATGGACCCATCTGGACTTTGCATCAAACAATTTCTACAAATAATATTAGGGATCCCAAATGTAGTCAGTGTAGTACTTTTCTGAACACTGAATGCTCACCGCCTTAGTGCCTGGGCTGGCAGGCTATATTTGCCCGGGAATGGGACATAAACAGGCCAGACGTCAGATCTTTGCTGCAAGATTGAAAAAGGCCACTTGTCCAAAAATCTGGATGGTTTTCAATTTCATACTGCCATGGCTGACAATTTACTCCGAAAACAGGGATTCTCAGCCAGTTTCTATCCTTCTGTTACTGTTTTTCAGATGTGATATTTAAGGTCCTTAGCTTTGAATCCTGCAATGTTACTAATTGTAAGATTTAGGCATGTCAGTTAGACATTAAGATTTGTTGTAATGCCAAAATTATATATTTCTGTGCCTGGATATATATGAATAAATGTGTGAATATTATTAAATATGTATGATGACCACATTTCCAGTGATTGGGACATTGCTTCAAATCAAGGCTTGTTTATAATAGCTGTTGGTATTAAATCATTGTATTTTAGACACTAAACCAACTTCTTTGTATATTTTAGCTCTTTGCTCTCACAAATTTAAGAGTTTGGTATCATTATCGATATTTTGATTTGGGGGTCAATCTGGAAGTGTTCAGGTGCAACTCACAGTGCTGTGCTCAGGGGCCACTCCCTGGCTATGCATGAAAGACTGTATAAAGCTAGGGAGTGAATCCAGGCCTCCCACTTGCAAATGCACAAGAGATTGATATTGTTATTATTATTATTATTTTCAGGTATAAAGGCATTGTTATTTTGGTATTTATTATTATTGGTATTATTATTATTTTAAAGTAGGAAGAAGCTGAGTTTTGGAGAAGTTAAATAACATACTCAAATTCACGGCAGATTATAGACAATTAGATAGATGCAGAGGACAGTGCTAGGTTTAAATCTAAATTTCCTCAATCAAGTAGTCAGCATTTTTACCACAGCCATTTATATGTAATTATGAATAGAGAAGTGTGTGTGTATGTGTGTGTGTTGTGTGTGTGTGAAACACACTCATTCCACTCTACTCTCTACACACACTGAGATCCAGAGCAATCCGACAGAAAGTATTGATTGTGCCAGGAAAACACCATCATTTTCCTTGTTTTTTACTTCTATACTTTTTTCTGTATCAAAGTGTATCATTATTATTAATTTTAATGAGTTCTATGTGATCAAAAAGGGTGTAATATGATTGAGCATACTAATACTTTAAAGTGCCTTCACTTCTATAATTAGACATCAATAGAAAATTAAAATTTCCCAGAAACCATCTCCATAATAAGCATGTAAAATTTTGATGCTTGAAATCATTATACTTACCAGTTAAGTACACTGAAAGATAAATGTATTAATAAATCATCTCTTTTCTATACCAGCTTGAACTTTTTTTTGGTGATTAATTTTCAGTAAAAATATGTCAGTCTGTACCTGGAACAAAACCAGCTCCTTATTTGTTAATTTTCTTTTTTGCTTTAGCATCCTATAATATGTTTCCCCACATTTTAGTAGTGAAACAAATTTCTCATCCTTGTTATTTTTTCCTGTCACACAGCTCTATATCTGGTCCACATATTATGCTTTGTCTTTTTTTTCTTTTTTGGTCACGCCTGGCAGTGCACAGGGGTTACTTCTGGCTCTGCACTCAGAAATTACTCCTGCCGGTGCTCAGGGGACAATATGGGGTGCTGGGAATCGAACCTGAGTGGACCATGTGCAAGGCAAACACCCTACCCGCTGTGCTATTACTCCAGTCACTTGTGCTTTGCCTTTAACAAGATCTTAAATCTCTCAATGCGTGAAGTCCATGTGAATTTGTACAATGTGGAATGCACTATGTTCTTTCTATCTGTGATTGTTCTGTAGACTTGCCTTGCTTGTCCCTCAGTGGAGAGCTTTAAGTGTACGACTCCCCCCCCAAAAAAAGATAAATGTATATAATGAATAAAAATTTCAATAATTTAATAATTATTTAAAACACCCTTCATCTTTAATCCTGAGATCCTTTCTTCAGTGATACCATATTTTCTTCCTGAGGATATATTTGTCAAACTCTCTCCACTTTCAAACTTCATATTTTCTTCAGGATTCTCTACTGCATGGAGGGAACTTCAAAGACTAAAAGACAAGTGGTACTTTGTACAAAACTATAGTATAGTTACAAAACCATACTATCCAAAGAATACTATTAATATAATATCCAAAGATACTAGATATAATCTTCAAAGATACTATTCCAAAGAACTCCTGAACCAAATATTGTCATTTTAATGGATCTCTTGTTCCACTAGGAATAGACTTTCTTCCTTTTAAGAATTCAAAACTCTACCACCAGATTGATTTAAAAAACAGACAAAAAACTTAACATTTTCTTTTTGCTCAAGAATTCAAGAAATAGGGACTGAAGTGATAGCACAGCGGGTAGGGCGTTTGCCTTGCACGTGGCCCGACCCGGGTTCTATTCTCAGCATCCCATATGGTCCCCCCGAGCATGGCCAGGAGTAATTCATGAGTCCATGAACCAGGAATAACCCCTGTGCATCGCTGGGTGTAACCCCAAAACCAAAAAAAAAAAAAAAAAGAATTCAAGAAATAAATAGCCTAACAATCTCTGAGTTTTTCTGCATACCATACCAGCTCTTAACTATGTTACCCATTTTGGTTGGATTACTACATAATCTATATCTATTTCCACCAACTTGATTATACATTTTAATAGAGCTCAATTGAGTGATTTAGAACACAAAATCAACACTTGTTTTATATCTGATGTCCAACCTTTAAAAAATTGTTTTTTCCCTTTATCAAGATACTGTGATTTACTAAGTATCCATAGTTGAGTTTTAGTCATGCTATGTTCCAGCAACAATCCCACCACCAGTGTTAGCTTCTCTCGACTAGTTTTCCAAGACTTTTTCCCACTCTCCCTTCCCCTAGCCTGCCTCCTTGACAGGCACTTTTTTTGGTTTGTTTGCTTTGTTTTTTGGCTTTCTGGGTCACACCTGGTGACGCACAGGGCTTACTCCTGACTATACATTCAGGAATCACTCCTGGCGGTGCTCAGGGAACCATATAGGATGCTGGGAATCGAACCTGGGTGGGCCACGTGCAAGGCAAATACCCGCTGTGCTGTCATTGCAGCCCCAACAGGCACATTTTTAAAGTTTGGTTGTTGTTGTTTAGATTTCCTGCTTTCAGTGTTTACTTTTCTGCTCCAGCTACTGGTAAGAAACTATAAAAAGTGACATTGCTTTAAAAAGTATTTTGATTCTTTTAAAATTTAATATAACAGGCTAATTATATTAAATTGTGTTACTCCTGGCTCTGCACTCAGGAATTCCTCCTGGCAGTGCTCAGGGGACTATATGGGATGCTGGGGATCAAACCCAGGTCGGCCGCGTGCAAGGCAAACGCCCTACCCACTGTGCTATCACTCCAGCCCTATACATTTATCTTACAATGTTTTACATTTTCTGTCTATATTCATTTTTCCTGAATTAATTTTTGCCTGAAAAGAAAAAAACCAAGGTCTATGTATTTCTTCCTTGGAAACTGTACAAAGATAATTTGTCTTCCTCTCATCAGACTTGGACAAAATCCTCAAAGAAAACATAATTTAATAGTAGCTTTTATGTTCGAGTATAAAAGATTGGACATGTGGGCCTTGGAAGGAGAGAAACAAAGTGAAGCTTGATCTGATGGTGGGGATGAATATTCATTAGTCATGAGAAATCCAGAGAATTTCAAATCAAAATAAATCTTTAGTCAAAGGGTTTCCATAAAGATCATTTGAAATTATATGTATATGTATATCTTTATCTACGTATAATTACAGAGAATTATATATCACTATCTGATATAGATAAAATATGCTGGCACATACCTGGCATTTTATATAGGAGGGTTGACCCAGGGATCCTAACATCATCAGAAAATTCTTACATCCCTACTATGAGTGCAACTAGCTTGGGAATGTTCTTTTACCTCCCCCAATCAACTGCCTTCACAGTGGTCGACTCCTACTTGCTTTGACTCTATATATTCCTCTAGGTTCTCATGGTGAACTGCATCCTTGTCCTCATCCTAATGTTTTCCCCACTGTATTGAATGTGTTTCCCCCTAATTCAGAGTAGCGAAAAGACACTGAGTTCCAGCAGGGGTTTTATGGGGGAAAAATGCCAGGGTCTATGAGTTGTTCCTTGCTAAAGATTGCCTTTTAGTAGGGGTTCAAAGAATAACTGTGGAATTAGTGAGCTTAAATATTCTAAAAAATTGCGAGTGGAAAAACCTACTGTGAAATCAAGTAAAACTTTTTCATAATGCATTATATTTTAAAATACCATCTATCTTTAGAAATAGCAGTATATATACGTATACATTATTCAGACTACATATGTTCTGTTTTGTGTAAATATTAGTTCAGAGGTTGCAGATTTCAAATAGTTCAAAAGCAAGTTCAGAATGCTTTCTCCCCACCCTGCCTCTCTACCCTCTCGGAAACCCAATTATTTTCCTAGAAGTACCTTCTTAGCGTGCTGATTTGTTCTTAGTCTAAATACAAGAGAATAAATACCCATCTTAAAAAGGAATAATGCTCAGAATAGGTTTCAACCCTGTGTTGGAGATGGGAAGCTGATTTTGGGGAAAGAAATAGAGGGTTGATTTAAAAGTCCTCTCACCCCTTCTGCCTTAAGACTGACTACTATTCCTTTTGCCCAGGACTCACTCTGCTTGTAGCTTTTCTTTGTGTACATCTGATTATTACTAGTCACATATAACTGGATGTCTCCTTTCATTTCATCACAACGTCATTCTTCGTACTAGAGAACCAATAGTATTTAATTCTGAGTTTCTGTGTGTGTGTGTGTGTATGTGTGTGCCTATGTGTGTGATTTGATATTTGTGGCATTGCAGAGGGTTTTTTTTTTAACTTTTTAAACATCAGATCTCCTTAAAACTGTTGACACAAACAATATACTTAAAATACAGGAAATTTAACTTATAAAAAGAACTTCTTTTCATGCACCATATTTTCTTACATTTGAAAGAATATTATAAGTATTTTGGATAATATCCAAGAGATGCACTTTAACATAAAGACACACTGCTTATTTTTAAGATATGGTGGCCATAAAATTCCCAGATTTTATATCCTCTCTGGAATGAAATATATATCTCTAGGTGGTTAATCCTAGAAAAAAAAGCATTGCTTAAGAAGGGTGGGTTATGATTGCCTTTTGGAAAAATGCAGCACCTGTCAAGAGCAATGGTCCATACTATTTGGAAAAAACAGGATCCGTGAAGGTTTTCTGAGAGAATCCTGGAGACTGTGATGGAAGGAACTGTTCCAGAGAATTAATTTCCTTGATTTTTTTTTTAAAGAAAATGTCCAGAAGCCCTAGGTCGGCTTTTCCTCAAAGAATATTATTATACTTAGTTCTCCTGAAAACACTCAGTTTGGTACAGGACTTTTCATGAACTTCTCTGTTGAGATAAACATGAAACTATGATTGATTGTTTACTTGCCTGTGTAAAATTTTTATAAATGAGCCTTTAAGGTAAGTATAGATTCACAGCACTTGCGTGAAATAATACAGAGAGAACTCTTTTTTTTACCCAGTTTTTACTAATGATAACATTTAAAAAATGTTTATAACTCTTTTATTTGAGGCACCATGATTTAAAGTACTGTTAATGACAAGGTTTCATGCATGCAATGTTCCAACACCACATCCACCATCAGAATGTTCCCCTCACCTTCATCCTATTCCATCCTTCCCCTTACCCCCACTATGGTAAACTCAGCTGGGTGCACAAATTCTCAGAATTTGTTGGATTTGAAATGGTAGCATCTTACTAAACCATATAGAATAGCATCACAGCATAGCATCTATGTAACTAGGCTAGCATCACCATTAGGATATAGGTATTGATCAGAACAAAGAACAGTTCCATTTCCATGAGGATTCCTTCTGCCACTCCCTCTCTCAAGTCTGCACTTGGATGCAGTGGTTAACACAGCACTTGGCAATCTTGAATGCTGATCTCTGCCAAGACATTTAGCACCCAAGAGCAGAGCCAATTCTTGAACAGTGGTGTAACATCCCTGTTCTCTATTGTATATAACTAACTATTCTGTACTTACGTTCCTAGAGAGATTCTTCTGCATTTTATACCAGAGTATCAGCTGCCCTCAGAATTTGGCTGCACATCTATAGAGCAATTTGTAGAAAGTTGTGAGGTAAGCTGCCTTTTGTTTGTTATTGTTTTGAACTCTGGGGGAATGACAAAATAACCTGAATTTATTACCATCAAAGAAAATGCCAAATGTTACCAACATGAGGACTAAAGTGACTTGAGTGAATGTAGTTAGCATCTATTTATCAAATGGGTAACTCAAAATTAAGACTCACATTAGAGCCAGTGTGCCAAAGGTTTAAAATAAATTTGGGGAAGGTTGTAGCCTGAGAACAATTGGTTGCAGGAATCCCCCACCCCCCCAAAAAAAAACAAAAAAAAATGGAACTTAGTCCCTGCCTTTCCTCTCAAAACGAGTTGTTAAATTACATCAGGCTATGGTGAGGCTGATATGGTGCGTAGGCGCAGGACTGGCAGAGAGCTCCTAGGAGGACAGCGGAAGGACTCGTCTCCACCTACATGCTCAGTGTTACTTGGAGCAAGGATGAAAATAGATCACTGAAATACCTCCCACCCCAAATGATTAAATTGAGAGACATTCGCAATTTTCTTTCATTTAATCCTGGGCCAAAGTTTTACTTTTCTTTTTTTGGTGGGTGGTTAGAGGCACTTCCAGCGGTGGTTAGAGGCTATTCCTGGCTCTTTGTTCAGGCGTCAATTCTGATGATATTTGAGGCACCATATGCCCATATACGATGTCAGAGATCCAGTTAAGGTTAGCGACATGTCAAGCAAGCCCTTTAACCCCTGTACTTTCTCTCCTACCAGAAGCCTCAATTTTCTCTTTGTTTCTGCTTCATCTTCTATTCTCACCTTATCCTTCCCACTTAGGCTTCCAGTGACACTTCCCCTCTGGTCTGATATATCAGGCCCCTGGTGACCACTGTGCTGGGCAATGCTGCACTCACTGTCCTTCCTAACACTTGTGGGCCTTTCCCCAGTGACCATTCCTTCCTTCTTGAAGCTCATTTATTGGCTAGCTCCATGACTACGAATTCCCATTTCTTGTCTTCTTCCCCTCTCTTCCTTCCTGGCAACCCCTTTCTGTTTGGTTTCTTAATGTTGACATGTCTGAGGGCTCTATTTTCTTCTTTATTAAATGCTATTTCTGGATTTTAATAATCTCTGACTTTTAATACAACCCCATATGTCAGGAGTTCCCTAGCTTATTTCTCTGGCATTCATTCCCATTGGAAAAATAATCCAGATTTTAACTGCCTGCTTACCATCTTTTTGAATATTCATTACTTTCCATTTCTTTTCCCCTTTGCCACATTTTATTTTTGATAGATTTTTGAACCATTTTATATTCATTATGTAAGATATCTTAATATGTTTTTGAATAGAGCAATGGATACTTGAGTTCATGAGTTTAATTAGAATTGGGCTTAAAAAACCTAGTGTACCAAATATTGGTTACAATTGGCTGCTTTTTAAAAATTATAAGTACTTATTTATTGTAACTTTGTTGTAGATAGCTCATTCTCTAATGTTAATTTCCTATTCCATTATTATTTTAAAAACTAGCTGGAGCAATGTCCAGAGAACAAAAATAAAATGTTGAAAATGTTTTTCAAACAGGTAAGCTTCTTTTCAATGTATTTATTTAAATTCAAAATGTTCTAGTATTCCAAAGGAGAAATAATACACATTTATAAACATTAGGTTTGTAAGGAAATCAAATTTGCATACACTTTTAGAGACTTAAATTAATTTGTAACATATCACATGTCACAAAGCAGCATCTTGTTGAATTTTAAAATGCAAATGTTTCCACAACATAAAGCTTCTGAGACACTTGGAGGGGGACTATGCTTTGAAGAAAAATGTGACATTCTCTTTAAGAAATTGAGTCACTGAATCCTTAAAACACTGGATTTTTATACCATGAGTTTGACTAAACTAAACTAGATATAATTTTTAGATTAATATTCTAAATTATTTTGAATAATTTTGTATTCCTGGGTCTTTTTCAGTATTCTAAAAACAATTTGTAGTTCATAATTTTTCACTAATAGAAGTTGTAAAATAATGTTAATAAAAGAAATTAAAATAAATTTTGAATTTTTTTCCTTTTAAAGGTTTTAAACATTTAATATTTTGGTTCAGTTTATTGTAAACTCTGCTATTTATCTGGGGAGATATTTCAGCACTCTTCACATAATAGTATATATTCAGTTATTTAAATATTTCCCAAGGAAAATATATAGAATTCTTCAGCTCTATACAGAAATATCTGAAAAAAAAATAGTATGCTTTCAACTTGCTAGACTCTAAGTCTAGAGTCAATGCCAAGATTCCAAGGTGTAAAGTTGGCCAAATATATGGGGAATTTCTAGAACTTTTCATGACATTGAAATTGATATTAAGATGTTAGATCTGCACTGACTTTTTTTCTCTATTTGTTCCAACCTGTGCACTGGTTTCATTATTGACATACATATTGCCGTTATCTCATGTGCATTTATGCTCTGATCATCTTCTGAGAAACTATCACAATATGCCAGTCCTCAAAGACTAAGAAGCAAATGGTACATCCATAATGAATTTTTGTGCAACTCTCAGCAAATACACTGTTTTATCTGTTTTGTAGAAAAGGAAATCTATTTGAATATTTTTATTTCTAAGTGAAGTTAATTCCTCAAGTAAAAGTAATTTCACATTTACAGCATGAACTTTTGTCAATATTTTTTTAACCAGAAAAAAACATAAAATTTACCTTTAATATATTTTACCCTATTCTAGCATCAACACTAGTGAATGTAAAACTATGGTTGATGAAGAGTGATTATAACCAAGGAGTATATTGGGTTTTTTAAAATAGATATGAATTTCCTTAGCTCTTGCAATAGTTTTGGGAGATATTTGTAGCTATCTCTGTCTTATTAATGAGGAATAGAGATTCAGAAGGATAATATTCCAATGCTATGATTCAAAGAAGGGGTAGACTCAAGGATCAAATCTAAAATTGTCCCAATCCAAAATTTCTTACAGTACATTTACTTTATTTTTTACATTTTTAAATTAAAAATATACTACAGCATTATAACATTATGTGATTCTTATATGCTTTTAAACCTTATTATTATCTAAAATATAATACTTTGTCCTTATGATAAAGTTTCCACTTCAGGCATAAAATAGTATAGCTTCTAAGACCACTGTTATAAAAGTATTGCTTTTCACTGACTGGAGACCTTGGAATTAAACAAGGTATATACAGGGAATATGAGTTAAAGAAAAGATAATGAGTTGTTTAATGCCCCACATGCAATTATAACAAGTATCCTAGTAATGAAATTGTCACCTCAGTCTATCCAAATATGTCTTATTTCTAAAAGAATTTTTTTTTCATTGTTTACACTGTGAGTAACAGAGCCTGGTTGCTAGGTACATAGGAGGCCAGATCAAATAAAGTAACTACTCAGGATGAACGAACATAGATAGCAGGATCCCCAAAATGTTCAGAGAAAGTGAAATTCAAAAAATCAAAGCAATACAAACAGTGCAGAGACTATATGTTAATGTTGGAACTGAGATGTCAGAAGTGAAATGCAGCATTATTGAAATCATGACTTTGCCAAGAAAACTGCCTGATCGTGTGATCATAAGCTGTAAGGGATGATGAAATCATGCAGTTTGTGCAAAATGGATGGAACTAGAAGGTAACATGTTAAATGAAGTAAGTCAGAAGGAGGAGAAATAAAAGATACCACTTTTATGAGATATTCAGAGTAACTGAATAAGAAAATACAATGGTTTAAAGTTGGAGGGGTGATCACCCTTGCCCCCCCAGAGTATGGAGAGAAGATAAGAAATAGAGTGAAGGGAAAGGGGAGAAGAGAAGATGAGAAGCAAGGGGGATAGGGGTCAAGGGGATTCAGGCACATTGGTGTTGTTAAGGAAAGATAGTGCTGAATATCCAAACCAACAACACTGAAATCACGATACCCAAACATAAAAGATGCCTGTCAACATGTCAGACCGAGACTGGCGTGGAAGCTGAGTAGGAGGGCGGAACCTAGGAACACTGGTGGAGGGAAGTTGACAGGGGAGGGGGGTGATCAGTGATGGAATATTGTGTATCAAAAGTCCAACTATGAAAAACTTAGTAACTCACTGTTCCTTAATAAAATAAAATTTGGGGGAAAACAAATTTAATGATAAGTAGATTTAGGTGGATGTTAACAAAACTATTGATATTATTTCTTCAAATCTACATAGAAGACAAATTTACAAGTACTCACCTTGCTTGAAGGTGAGTACTTTTAATTCAGACAGTAATATCAAAGCATAAGACTCTTGGTAAGTGACGAGTCTTTGATCACTTTGAACCCTGGCTACATCAGCAGTTTTCATAAGTTCTATCAGAGCAGTCAGTGATTCAGCAGCACCTTTGAATTCTTCAGACCCCTACTCTTTGTGCATTGATTCAAAGTTGACTATTTCAACCATAGATTCTGTCCTCTAAAACACTCAGTTCTTTATCCCTGTCTGCAGAGTACAAAACTCTACATATAAACCGATCTCATTTTATGAAAACTTGTTAGGATTCTCGAGTCCAGAGCTGCTAAAACTTTAATTTCTAGGAAGAAAATTAAAAATCTCTGTTGAGTATTCCTTCTTTCAAGTCTTAATCCTGTTCTGAATTAAAGGAGTTAGAAAAGAATTCTATTTTTGATCTGCCACAAATACCTCTACAAGAGTAGGTTTAACTTATCAGATCTTGCTACAGTTCTATATTCACCCTAATTAAAATATGAATATAACTAGAAGTTTTTTTTATGTTGTTTTAAAAAGCTGTCAAAAATGTTTCCCTTTGTAGAAGTATCCTAGAAATACTGACCTGAGAAAAGGCCAAAGAATGAATGAGGATATTGATAATGAGTGATGGAAATACAGCTTGCTGGTTATAAAATAGAAAAGTTTGAGAGCCTGACTAACTTTGAATGAAAGGTGCTATGCAAAATATTTTAAATATTGTGTTAACAATGAGACTTTTTAACTTCTAATTTTCAAATAATTACTAAATCACTAAAAATTACAAAGTAGATCTTTCACCTGTGTACCTTTTATCCAATTTATCTCAATGCTTTCATCTCACATAATTGCATAATATAATATCCAAACTAGATAAAATGCATGTCTGGTCTCCTTTGCCAAATGTGGGGTCATCACCCAAATCAGCATACAAAACTCCTGTTTCCAGAAAGATTTCCTCTGTACTGCCCTTTCTAATCCACCATTCCACTCCTACACTTCTAACCCCTAGCAACAACCCGTCTGTTCTCCATCTTTAAGGTTTTGTCTGAATTTAGAGACATTATAGAAATGTAATCATACAGTTTGTGTCACTTTATGAATCAGTGTTATGCCCTTCAGCTCCACTCAGATATTTAAGACAGGATGTTCCTTTTTATTGTTTAGTAGAAAAATCTTTTTTAACTGCAGTGATATTTTGAATATTATTTTATCTTTTAATTTTTGTTTTATTGCTGTTGACTGTTTTAAAAAATTCCCTGGCTATTATTTAGTATAGAAAGAACTGTAAAATTTTAGAGTTCTGCTATCTTTGTTCCTGCTGAGTTGAGTTATTATTATTATTATTATACTATTGTTATTGGTTTAGGGTGTCATCCCAAGAGTGCTCAAGGCACTCTCCTGGCACTCTGATGAGGGAGTGTCCTTGGCTGTACTCAGGGACCATATGCGGCTTTGGGGATCAGACCTGGGCTAGCCACATTTCTTATTGAAAATATTCAAATATTTAAGGATTTTCTCTGTCTTTCTTCTCTCAGAATATCCCCGACCGTCTCAAAATATTGATACAAACAACTATAATATAATTTTGAAATCAAAACTTTTGTTTATTTAAATTTTTTAATTTTTAAAAAATTTTTGTTAAAAACACTGTAATTTACAAAGTTGTTCATTGTACAGTTTTTTTAAGTATTTAGTGTTCTGACATCACCAGTGTGATTTTCCCTCCACCAATATCCCCAGTTTCGGTCTAAATCCCAGCCTAGACCCTTATGTACATAAAAAATTTATTTTATGTTGCTAATTCCAACAAATTTTTAGGAGATACCAAATACAATGAACAGAAAATAAATCAGCAAGAACCAATTTGTGATTACTGTAATATTTTGACCTGTGTAAATAAGAAAATTAAAACTGTTGTATGCAATATAATAAAATGGCTATTCTCATTCACATATATGTTTTCAACTCTGGAATCTAAAATATATTACATTAAATTTCATTTTATACTTGGATCTCATTATGGTAATAATTGTGTCTCATTTATTTTATTGATTAATAAAATAATTCTATTTTAATTAATAAAACTTTTAAAGAAATTCTGGTGTAATATATTGTGCAGTTTACATAAAATAGGTAAGGCCTACTTATGTAAACTTTTCCCCTACACTTTATGTAAACACTATGGTTTACAAATTTGTTCACAATAATCTGTCATGAGCATTCGGTATTTCAACACCAATCCCACCGTTACAGCTTTCCTCCACCATTATCACCAATTTTCCCAAACACCCTATAAACCTGCCACATAAGCAGGTCCTCAATACTTTATTTTATATTGCTTGCTATCAATATATAACTAACAGAATGATCAAAATATGTTTTCTTAGAAGAAAATTAATGATTAATGTAAATTGTTGTATACCATGGTTACATTAAGTCCTTATATGAGAGGTTACCGAGATGTTGCTACAGGTGAAGCTTTCTGTGTTTATGTTTTGTTAATTGAGATTGGTTGCCTTTTACGTTATATCCCATCCAATCTGAAGTGTTGCTACCCGTTTATCATTGTTGTAGAATTTGAGATGTATTTCATAGCTCCAGTATGTTCAGAAGTTTTAATGGGGTGGTACAGCTGCAGTTAAATTTTTCACTGGGTGGCAGCTGTAGGGTGTGGATGTGACTACTGAGGCTTCCAGGAATATAGAAGGTGGGGGAGGTAGACCATCTCAACTCTGATAAAACCTGTAAATTTCGGCCACAAAGCCTGCATACCTGAACTGAAATCAAAGTCTTTGGACTTTCCATTATATCTGGTATATTATAAGTGCTTTCAGCACAAATGAGCTCTCGGAAAACAGCCAAAACTTTAAAATTAGCAAGTGTTATACACATAAATATATGACCATAGTCCTTACGTTAGTCTAAGCAACCTGAAGAACAGAAATTACTCTTACTATAGTTTCTGTGCTCTTTTTATGCTATAGAACTGACACATCTTCTGAGAAATCTCCAAGCAGCCAGCCAGTTGATCATTACCTAGGAGATGCTGGTGTTGGGAGAGAAGTACTTGCCCCATGTTTTCTTGATGATTTAATGATTTCTTTAATGATTTCTTGAATCATTATTTTGTCAACACTAGTGGGAGAGAAATTTAAAGCAAGACAGTGTTCCTTCTTCATTTTGAAACAAGCATCTCTGAGCTTACCTTGTTCAACTCTCTTCTCCTCCTGTATCAGTCCTCGGCTGGAGCGATAGCACAGCGGGTAGGGCGTTTGGCTTGCATACGGCCAACACGGCTGACCCGAGTTCATATTCTTCCACCTCTCTCAGAGAACCCGGCAAGCAACCAAGAGTATTTCGCCTGCACGGCAAAGCCTGGCAAGCGCCCTGTGACGTATTCGATATGCCAAACACAGTAACAAGTCTCACAATGTTACTGGGCCCACTCGAGCAAATCGATGAACAATGGGAGGACAGTGACGGTGATCAGTCCTTGGACCATTGGACACTGTATATCTTCTCTCTTCTTTCTTCCTCTTCTATCAGATTGTAAATTCCTTCAGAGCATCAGTATGTCTAAAATCCAAGCATTCATGCATGCTACATAAATACAGGATTAACACCATTGCCTATGTATAGAGTTAGAATAGGAAACTGATTTCTAGTACTGGGGAAGTAACATTTTAAATATTAAAAATTTTGTTTTTAACAAAAATTCCAGATCAAGAATGAATACATGGTCGAATATGAAAAAAACTTAAGGAAAAAGATGCAGTCCATTATTTGTGATGCAAATAGAAGAGGCTTGATTAGTGAAGTGTCTCTGCAGAAATGTGAAGAAAAAAGAAAAATTACTGAAGAGAGACTGAATAATCTTCGTGCAAAACTAGCATTATTGTTGCAGAAACTTCAGCTGGTAAGTTACAGAATTTTATCTAAACAGTAGCCAGGACGTATTTTATTTGAAAGCACACTCAGTATACTTCACTGCACATCCTAACTCTGTTATCTATTTATTAACCATGATTAACTTTCTCAATCTGCTACTTATTCTCAAGTATATTAAAATATAAAAGGGAACTTTGAAAATATATATTTTAAGTGTCTTTTATTTTCTTTTAACAAAATTAGGATCACTTATTTTGCTGTAAGTCTTCTCAGTAACATGTTTCTAGTAGGGACTGTTTTCTTATTTTCAGACAAAGAAAAATACGTTAATTTATTTTTATCCTAATGCATAAATAAAAGAGACTCATCTAATCTTCAAGAAGAGGTTGTATAGTCAAGAAACATCATGTATCTATATACATTGGGAAAACTAGTTATTTTTCTACTGTACTTTTTCTTTACTTTCACATAGAACATTGATTTCTGATAGTTCTGGTCATCAAATGGGTGGAATTTCACCCCATACCAAGAGATATTTTTGATTTACAAATAAAAAAGATATGATTCCTCTCCACCTGAGCATGTAGATAACAATTGCAATCTCATATAATTAAAATTTAAAAGGACAAGTGATGCTGCTTTACATAATGGTAATCATATTTGTGTTTTTATCAACAATACTTTATAAGACAGTTGAGTTTATTGCTGTACAAGAGGGATTTCAAGGAACCTTATTTTAGTTCTTATGATTATAAAAGGTGACAGTATTTTCATGTAGGAAATGTGATAGGAAATCTGGCATACGTTAGTCTCAGCACCTGAATGTTGTCTCACTAACAAGAAAAATAAGAGAGACCAAAGAAAATATATAACATATAAATTTAAAACCATCCTATTTAGAGGTCTATAATATTATTTCTTCTAATATAAAATCTATATTTGAACAGGGTAAAAAAGATAAAGCATAATAATTTACTTGTCCTTCTTTAGTAGCCCCTGAAGTCCCTTGCAGTAGCCAAGGCAGTAAAACTAATTTAACTTGCTTTTTTCACCATTTGATAAGGAAGAAAAGGGATTTAACTTGTAAATGATGATATTCTGTACCTAGTGTCAGTGAACAGTGTGCTCAGAGAACTTCTGCCCAAATATAATTACTCTCATTTCTTACTTGAAATTTTCATCTTTACTGTTGCTGATTGCAAAGTAACTGCAGTGGAATACAGCAAAGACTTGAGATGAGGTGGATCTGAAGCAGGTGGAGTGAGGCAGGCATGTGGAGAAATAGGGCATAGAACTAACCTGCACTCCTAAGAGGAAGTCTAGTGTGCCAGACAAAAGGCAATTGGAACCAAAGGATCAAACTTCACCCAACAGAATGAGGGCACTAAGTGTCAAAGCATTTTTCAAGGCCCCTATATATTTAGAAATCTAGATAAATGTCAATGTTATGAAAGCCTATCAACAGGAACAGGATGGGACTCTGTATAATTCAGCCTTGATGGAGGACCTAGGTATTAAGTCCTTCCTAACATTCCTCTTATTCATCAGCTCTGTTGGAGAGCTAGGTGACTCATAGTTGGGAGTGACTGAGATTATGTTGATAAAGAGATCATCTGCCAGGATATCCCATGGATCAAGCAACCCAGGCAAGGAGAAATCATATCAATAGATATTTAAGTGAAAGACTGAAAAGGGATGAATGCAGGCAGTAAACCAAGTGTTGTGGAAAAGATATTATTGTGGAAAGAGAAGCAACTAAGCTGTCACAGTTTGCTACCTCACTTGTTTTAAGTCTAAAAAATCATTTTAAAAAATGGGATATGAATGCCTATAAAACAAAGAAGGATAAGATGGAGTTCTGGGAGCTTGAGGAACATGACAAGCAATTTAATTGAAGGGGGGAGCAGTTGAACTAACCTCCACTAAAAGAAGAAAAATGATCCAAGTTCCCAACCACTTGTGAGCATAAAATGAGTTTAAATGCAAAAACATTTTGAAAGGTTAAAAGCATTATTCAAATGCAAGGTACATTCTGTTGCTACATGAATCATAGGGAAGACTATTAGGAGGCCACCCAGATTACTGGAATAAACCCTGTAGACCTTTCTGTGATATGATTGCTCCTTCTCTTTACCAGGGCCATCCAGAAGATCTGGAGGAAACTGACAATTATTTAGAAGCTTTGCTTCTAGAAGATGATCTCCTTTTCCAGAATTCTAAAAATAAAGTGACTGCAGATCATAACCTCTCAGGAAAAAAATAAAAATACTTCTCAAAAATTAGAGATTTTTTTCAAAACCGCTAATGAAAAGATTCTTTTTTTGTAAAAAGGTAGCTTTGTTATTGTCAAATTTATCCTGTTTAGCACTAAGAAAATTGTAAACTGTAAACATGGACACTGATTTACAATTTTCACATTTGTCAGTCTACTCCCTCACTGTACTTGTTCTCTCAGAGAGTGTTTCTGAAGTGTTGTGATTCCTGTATCTGAGTTGCTAAGAAACATGGAAATGTTATTTAGGCTTAAATTTAATTTTATTTAAAAGATTGTAAAATTGGAAAATAATTGTTTTCAAACTCACTACTGAAAGGATTACATAATTGCTGTTGACATATTTTTTTTAAAAGACTTTATGCTCTTTCTTGACCACTCACAGTACTCTGTAAATCAGAAAATATAAATGTCCACAAAACTCTAAGATATAGTTATATGGTAATTTTATTATTGAGCTATAGTAAAATAATAAATCTTCTAAGTAATAGTACATAGTATAAGAACGGAGTGTTATATTTTCCTTGATAACTTCTTGTTTTATTTATTTAGAAATGTGTGTAGCTTTGAATTAGCATAATAAAACTTTGCAGTTTTGTTTGTGTAATTGTATAATTTCAATTTTCTGTACATACATGAATACCAAGCTCAGAACATGTGAAATTGACTGTCTTGAAAAATCACCATCTTATTCTTATCTTTAGACACTTTACCATCTCCAGAAGAATTTTTTAACCAATTGCCTGTGAACTTATCTAAAAAAAGTGCATATAAAATTATATAAACTTTTATATGTATAGTTAAAATATGGTTGTAATAGCATTGAAAAATGATGAATATTTTTTACACTTAATATGCCTCCAAACGTAGTCTGCATAAGGATAGAATCAGCACAGAGTGAGCTCCCTCAGTTAGTTCTTCTGATTATCAAAATTTATTTAACTATTAATTATTGATACACATTTAGGTCTCCCCCATTTTTTTTCATTTACATGCGCACAGCAGTGAATGTCCTTACAAATATGTTCATTTCCCCCAATGTACAGCTATATCTGTAAGTACATCTCAGGAGATGAATGGATCAGTCATTACTCAGGAGTTACTGGATCAAAGGGTATAAGCATTTTTTTTATTAATAGATACTGCTTAAAGCACTTTAGGAAAGTTAATTCAATGTGCATACTCAAAAAGTGTATGTGTAGTTTTCTCACACCTTCATTACTAAATGAATTATCACAGTTTCTTATATTGCTTATCACATAGAATAAAAATGGTATTGCCTTGAATTTTGACATACTTTTTTAATATTTTGGATATTACTAAACATCTTTACAGTGGATCTGTAAATTTGGCCTTTTTTCTTTTTTATGTTTGATAGTCTTTTATTATTTCTAGAAACTTTTTATATGAGAAAAATAATTTTATATGACACACATTAAAATACTTCTAATATTTTAATTTTAATGTTTTTTTGTTTTTGAGCCACATGTCATTTATTTATTTACTTATTTATTTTTATTGAATATTTTTTTCTTTTTTTAATTTAATTTGATAGCACAGCAGGTAGGGTGTTTGCCTTGCACACTGCCGACCTGACCGACCCAGGTTTGATTCCTCCGCCCCTCTCGGAGAGTTTGGCAAGCTACCGAGAGTATCTCACCCGCATGGCACAGCCTGGCAAGCTACCTGTGACATATTCGATATGCCAATCACAGTAACAAGTGTCACAATGGAGACGTTGCTGGGCCCGCTGGACCAAATCGATGAACAATGGGAGGACAGTGACAGTGATTATTTTTTTACAACGCTGTTTATGATTGGATTTCAGTCATATAGTATTCCAACACGCATCCCTCCACCAGAGTACATTTCTCAGCACCCACCAGTGTCCCCAGGTTCCCTCCCATCATCCTCCACCCTCCACCCCTGCCTGCCTCTATAGTAGGCGCTTTTCTTCTCTATCTCTCTCTTCTTTGGGGCAATGTAGTTTGCAATATTGATACTTAAAGCTAATCCAGAATATCCCTTACCTACTTTTAGCCCTCAATATATCACAAATGAATGCATTCTGTATCTGTCCCTTTCCTTCTGATTCATTTCATTCAGCATGATACTTTCCATGTCCATCCATTTATAAGCATCCATTTAAATGTCATTTTTGCCACATGACATTTTTTTAAATTTATTTATTGAATCACTGTGGGAAAGGTTACAAAGCTTTCAGGTTTAGGTCTCAGTCATGCAAATATCAAACACATTTCCCTTTACCAATACTTATTTTTTACCATGAAGAACCCCAATAAAACCCCACCCCCCACCCCTCCCAGTCCCTGTGAGGCAGATGAATTCTAGTTAACACTCTATCTGCTTTGATTAGATTCATTGTTTCAATAAAAGATTCACCACTATTATTTAGAGTTTACCCCCCCCCCCCCCAATCAGACATGCTGAAAAAGCATTGTGAAGTGATTTGCTTTCTACAGCTAGGTTCAAGAATTAAATGTTGGTTTTGGATTTCTGCTATTTTACCTATTGACCCTGGAAGTATTTCTACTGAAAGTCAGATAGCTAAGAAATTGGTTTCTGTGTTCTGGAGTCGTGGCCGTGCTGGAGAGCCGCTCGTTGGGGGCAACTGGTGGCCTCGGTAGGGCGTGAAGGGCGGACCGAAACGCCCCCCTTCCCATGAGATTTTAGTCGCCCCCACACCCCCGGCTCATACCTGCTGTCCACGAGGCTCCCCTGCGGCCGCCATCTTTCTTTCCAGAGAGGAGAGGGCGAATGGGACAACACCCTTTCCCCTCCGGACAGACATGATGGCCTGGATTAACGCATAGTCCGTTCACTTTTCTGCTCCAAGCTGCCGGGTTCTGCATTAAGTCCTTGTGCTTCTGGGGCCGTGGCTGTGCTGGAGAGCCGCTCGCGGGGGACAACTGGTGACCTTGGTAGGGCGTGAAGGACGGACCGGAACGCCCCCCTTCCCATGAGGTTTTAGTCGCCCCACACCCCCGGCTCATACCTGCTGTCCACAAGGCTCCCATGTGGCCGCCATCTTTCTTTCCAGAGGGAGGAGGGCGGAAGGGACCAACACCCTTTCCCCTCCGGGCAGACATGATGGCCTGGATTAACGCATAGTCCTTTTACTTTTCTGCTCCAAGCTGCTGGGTTCTGCATTAAGTCCTTGTGCTTCTGGGACTGTGGCCGTGCTGAGGAGCCACTCGTGGGGGGCAATTGGTGACCTCGGTAGGGCATGAAGGACGGACCGGAACGCCCCCCTTCCCATGAGGTTTTAGTCGCCCCCACACCCCCGGCTCAAACCTGCTGTCCACAAGGCTCCCATGTGGCCGCCATCTTTCTTTCCAGAGGGAGGAGGGCGGAAGGGACCAACACCCTTCCCCCTCCGGGCAGACTTGATGGCCTGGATTAACGCATAGTCCGTTCACTTTTCTGTTCCAAGCTGTTGGGTTCTGCATTAAGTCCTTGTGCTTCTGGGGCTGTGGCCGTGCTGGAGAGCCGCTCGTGGGGGGCAGCTGGTGGCCTCGGTAGGGCGTGAAGGACGGACCGGAACGCCCCCCTTCCCATGAGGTTTTAGTCGCCCCCATACCCCCAGCTCATAGCTGCTGTCCACAAGGCTCCCATGCGGCCGCCATCTTTCTTTCCAGAGAAGAGAGGGCGAATGGGACAACACCCTTTCCCCTCTGGGCAGACATGATGGCCTGGATTAACGCATAGTCCATTCACTTTTCTGTTCCAAGCTGCTGGGTTCTGCATTAAGCCCTTGTGTTTCTGGGACTGTGGCCATGCTCCAAACTTAACTCTGATTTTCAGGGAGAAAGGTTGGGTGGTTTACTTCCCAATGATCACTTTGTATATAGAGAGAGGTCGCGCGGCCGCATAAGCAGCCGCGCAGTTTTGAGAAAAAGTCCTAGTTCCCACATACTCGAGCTGTGCTTGTAGAGGATTCTGGTCACCGGGGTTCCATCTGGGGGAGGCGGGATGCGGTACCTACCCCATTTGGGACTTGCTGGTGATCTCAGCTCTTTTTGGAACCTGTTTTTTTTTTTCCTCCGGGATCTGTGGTTCCCGCCCTCCATGTGGTCCTTCTCTTAGGCTGTATGTTGTAAAAATGGCTCTGGGGGGTGGGCTGTGGGCGTGACTTCCGGAATCAGAGGTTACCTGGGAGCTGTAGTCCGGCAGATTTGAGAAAAAGTCCTAGTTCCCGCATACTCGAGCTGTGCTTGTAGAGGCTTCTGGTCACCGGGGTTCCATCTGGGGGAGGCGGGATGCGGTACCTACCCCATTTGGGACTTGCCAGTGATCTCGGCTCTTTTTGGAACCTGTTTTTTTTTTCCTCCGGGATCTGTGGTTCCCGCCCTCCATGTGGTCCTTCTCTTAGGCTGTATCCACATGACATTTAAAATAGTTTAATTCTTTTTATGGGCTGGAGTGATAGAACAGCGGTAGGGTGTTTGCCTTAAAAGCAGCAAACAAGGCCAACCCAAGTTCGATTCCTCCGCCACTCTCGGAGCGCCTACCAAGAGTATCTCGCCCACACGGCAGAACCTGGCAAGCTACCCGTGACGTATTCTATATGCCAAACACAGTACAACAAGTCTCATGATGGAGATGTTACTGGGCCGGCTCGAGCAAATCGATGAACAACGGGAGGACTGTGACCGTGATTTCTTTTTATGATAGCTTCTGACATTATAGAAAGTAGAGAGTACTTTCCAATTTTAAAGTTATGAAGACATTTCAACCTATCGTTTAAAAATGATTTAATAATTATATTGTTAAATCTTTGATTCATTCAGGATTGATTTTGATGTCAGGAGTAAGTTAGAAGTCAATTGTATTTAAAGATGCGATATTGTCTCAGCATTTCTAATTGAATGATCAATCCTTTCCCCTTTGTTCTACAGTCCCATCTAAGTTAAATGTTAAATTTGTATTTATATTTAAGTCAAGATCTAAAATACATTCTATTTTTTATT